CCCGCCTCCAAGGTCTTTGTCTCTCTCGCCCCGTCTGCCTCTCTACCATTAGGAGGGGTAGTGCATTTCTACATCAGTTAATAATTAAATTTATAAATACTGCTTTTTTTTCAACAAATTAAAAATTGACACTAGCCACAATCAAAAATTGTTCAAAATAGAAGGAAAATGGCACAGAACAATTAACGGTGGCATGACAGATAAAAATACTAACGAAATTCATACCAACAATTTAGTATCTACCTACTGCAAAAATATTAAAATCTTGCAGGGGTAAATTGAAGGGTTTCAAAACGATTTCAGTTTGTTTATGTGCACCTTCAAGACAGTTTTAGAAAAACGTAAAGAATGTACACTTTGATAATAAACTGTAAAAAATGGTCTACTTAAAAACCGATTAAACACTTATTTTAGGATTTTAGGGTTAAATTTAAAAATATCTTCATTTTTATATAAGAAACCCCTAAAGCGGACCTAAAAAGGCGGCAGGGCACATTGGATTTGACTCATTTCCAATGGGCTTGTGGCGTATAGGCCAACTGTGCCAAGTGTGAATCGAATCGGTCCAAGTGTTTGGCAGTTATCGTGTTCACGGTCAGACGGACATCAGACGAACACCATGGACTCCCCTATAAAGCTTGCCCCGCTTTGCTCTACCGCTTACTAAAACATTTCCGTATGGATACATATGCAAAAATAATACGATATTTCTCTCAAGAAAGGGTACCTATAGATCATTGTCATCGTCGCATTAAAGTTGAGGTAATTTGTCTTGACAAATTTTCTGAAATCCTATCCATTCATGCTTCAATGGAGATGAGATTATTCTTAATAGTCTCTGAAACTCTGAAACGACCAGTATAAATAAACCCTCGACGTAATTGAGATTTAGCTCAAGGGTTTGCAAAGTGATTTCTGTGAGAAAGGAAACGTCCAGACAGCACAAATGCCTTATTGATTAGCAACATAAATAATTTCGTTCTCTTACTCTCGTGGTTCGTACAACTGAAATTATTATAATGGAAGACCCTCCGATGCTAACTCTCCCTACTTCCTCGTAAAAATAAAAAAGCGGGTTCGTTATACGAAAAGTCGTTAATTTCTCATTATATAGATAAATTTTAAAGTAGATGGTCTGCAGCATTTGCTACTATACGATGTAATTTCCTTTTCAGAGCTGGAGAAGAGGATTCCTCTTGCAGCGCAGACCAGTCAATGCGCAGAGCTGGAGGAGTTGCAGGAGCTGCTCCACTTCCCGGAAGAGGTTGCATTACGCTTGGCCGATATCGAATATCAACTTTTTTATCAGGTAAATCATAAAGTTTGCATGCAACTTTGCCTCTAACTGTTTCAGTTACTTATAATCAAACGCTTTTGAGAAAAATGATTAAATTGCTGTGCCTATTTGAAAGTCTAAAAAATAAATTGCGTAGGTCTCTATATAATCATGTAAATTTTGCATGAAACAGTAAACCATAAATAACTGAAATTCGGTTTTTATAGGAGAACTGCCTCATGCACGAATTTAATATACTTTTTCGCCTCAACCTTTAAATATACATATTTCACGCTAAAAATGCGCATATTTCTGAAGGTGTAATTACCTACAGGCGTATTTTGATTATAGGAAAATACACACCACAAACGAGTGCGTTAGTAATAGATTTTCATTATATCTGCCGGAAAATGTGTTGGTTTCGGTATGAATATAGGCACAGAAGATCTGTTTCTCGTACGCAAAGTTTCGATGCGCAAATCAGCGCCATGCGGCGCCATGTAAACAATATACTTATTGACTCTGTATTAATTGACTATATTCAATACGTATAGAGTGCCCATTTTTAGAGTATTTTTCACGGATGTTATTTTATTATTATACTTGCTTGAATTCGCACCTGTCCATAGGCTGAAACCTTCAAATGCGAATATCTCTAAACAAGTACACATTGTGCACAAAAAGCGCATTTTCTTTAACCGAAATAGCTTAGTAAGTGGTTGGCTTATAAGGGGAGGAGGCCTTTTACACATAAACATTTAAAGACCACCTGGCATACATTGAAAATCCTCCGACACTCCATTCTGCAGATTTTGCTTTGAGAGCACTTTCCTTCGACAAACCGTTTTCGAGATATTCGCTCTTAAAGTTTTGACATCACCAATGATGGATATTTCTTACAGACTCTCCAATAGCTCTTTGTGTGTACCCTCTTCCGACAATCCGTTCTGGAGATATAAGGGAATATATTCGATCACGATAAGGAGTCGAGGAGGTGGACTATGGTTGGTACAAATTAATTCCTTTCGTTGAGACCTTTCATTAGAGTACCATGAGGAATAAAACGAGTTCCACTGCCCCCCCCCCTCCAACCCCGTCTTTTGATAAGAGAACAGAAAGAAGGGCAGTAGTTGGTAAAAAACGGTTCCTTTATTGATCTCGATGAAACCTTTCATTAGAATACCATGAAGAGTAAAACGTGTGTTTACTCCCCTCCCCTCCCCCGCCCCCCCATTTTAAACAGTTGGCCTTGGCACCACCAAAGACCAATTGGTTGTCCTATGTAAAAGTTATGCACATTTTACTTTCAAAAACAGCATCTCAGGAAATAATTAATGGGGGCCCGCCCTTTAAGATGGCCGTCTTGCACACCTTCAAGGTATAGTCCACCTACTGCAAAAAATTCCAGGACTCTAGGACCATTCCCCTAGAAGTAGTTTAAAACAGTAGAAGTGGGGTCCGGACGGACGGAGAAAATGCAAACAATAGCACATTTTTTTTAATGCGCTAAAAAAAATTCACTTTTCCTTCACCTATCGATCACGGACCACGGTCAAGTACGGTACTTGATGACACAACGACACTGCCGCCTTCTCTGATTGAGCGAAAAATTGGTAACTTCATACCCATACACAAAATATACACTGAATTTTTTTTAATGCGAACATAGAAATTTGCGTGTAATGTAATAGTATTAGGCGCGGTTGTGAAGGAGGAATGACAGTTGCCTCCACCAACAGTGGCGTTCCCGTTTCGTAAATCTATAAAATGAGAACGTAAATAACCTACGCCACTGGCCCCAATAACAAACATAAGAGCAATATAACCTCAAAAAAATACTTACGCGTGAAATGATATTCCTTTGGTTCGTTTATCATATACTTTGCACACTGTACAGGCCGAAATGTGCTTGTAACGAAATTTAGAAGCGAAGGCTCGGTAGCTCAGGCAAGGTAGGCGAGTGGGCGTAGGCCATCGCATACAATTGAGGGAAAAAAATGATATTTATAAGGGCGCCACTATATTTACGGCCACGCAATGAATCTTACAGTATCAAATATAGAAATATACCAAAGACACAGGTAAAACACTACTGATTGTTAATAATAAAATCACACATCGACCCTCAAAATAATTTTTAATACTGCACACTGGTTCTACCAGTCACAAAATTAATCCAAAACTATAGTATAGTATTAACGTATGCTAATCTTCTCAAACAAATATATATTTCACAAGGAATAACCATAGCCAAAAGGGCTCGCAATAGCAAACTCAGCCTCTAATTAGATAGGCAACTCAAATCTCTTTGTCTAAAAGTTAATTTTACTTCAGCGTACCTACGCGAAGTCAATGAAACACAAATAAAAATACAAGTTATGGTACCACTACTCAAAGTCTATCCAAGTAAAATCCTATACACATAAAAGTAACATAGGTTAATATAAGCTTACCAACAATACCATTCCCATCCAGCGAGCTCGGTGGACGAGGCTTCCCGTTACATCCATGTCTGAAACACAATCATTACCTGGAACTACCCTAACGAAGTGGCACAAAAGGTCAACATAAATTTTTAAGTTAAGAGAATTGAAGCAAAACTTTGAAACGGAGATTTCGAGTACAATAAATGATTTGAATGATTTAACAGGAGCAAAAATTTACAATATTGACAAATTAAACAAGGTTTTCAAATTTCAAGGAATCTCACAAAATAGGAGTTACATTAATGACTATCACATTACAGTTAATCAATTCAAAGTTACGTAGATTTGTAAATAGATAATAAATCGTATTGCAAATGGCAGCGAAATTGTTGACATACGGCAAACTCGTACTAGATGGCGTCGGGCGACAGTTTATTTGACAGCGACGAATTTCTTCAACACGCCAAAATTACAGCAAATAACAGAAGTCGAATGTTATCCCACGTAGAAGTAACACGATACCACGAAGATGTAACCAAATCCAATCAGCAAGTAACCCCAATACGCCAAACGATACACCACCGGCACCAGCCAAACAGCTGCATAAAATTAGTTATTTTAGAAATCACGAATCCCTTCGAAGTAATCCACAAAGATTATTTAAAAATAGAACTTACCCCTTAACAACGAAGGGCAAAGTCACAAACTACTGGCCCAACTAATCCTCTTTAAATCCCGAAACGGTATACGTTCTTCAAAAATATACGTCGGTAGAAACTTCTCCTAACGATATTTCACGTATAAATCCCTCCAATCAATGTACAACTGGTAGATGACCACTGAATAATTCAGAACAATTGATTTTACACGAGGTCGAGGACAGTAAACACCAACAACAGTTGTTACTTCTACGGCTTACATCGAAGTGAACGAATTTCCGGTCTACCATGCATACCACCAATGAGATTACAGTAAACCAACCCATTAAAATAAAATTCCCCAAAAATGACATCTTACACAAATTTAAATGTTACACTTAAATCGCGATATCTCGAAAACGGACCGTCGTAGGTATGGGTTCATGGTTGTTTTTAAATAGGTCTGGACTTAATCTAACCGATGGGAGGGTCGGAAGTTCGGAACGGAGATAAAAGCTCGGAAATGGCTGGAACGGATACCCCGAGTTACTGAACCCCACAATACCAAATTTCGTCGAGATCGGATGGTAAATGACGGAGATATAGCGATTTGTAATTTGACACCACCGAAAACACTTAAAACGCGATATCTCGAGAACGATGCGTCGTAGATATGGGTTTATGGGTATCTTTGGAAAGCTCTCGATGTAATCTAACCGATGGGATGGTCAACATTTCGGAATGGAGATAGAAGTACCGAAAGGGTGGGAACGGGTGCCTTCATTTCTCCAACCTCTTAATACCGAATTTGAACGAAATCGGACGGTAAACAACAGCGATATAGCCATTTGTAATTTGACACCACAAAAACACTTAAATCGTGATATCTCGATAACGGAACGTAGTAGGTAGTGGTTCATGGGTGTCTTTAGAAAGATGGGAGGACAAATTTTGAAATGCAAAAGGAAACCAATTAAAAGACATTCGTGAACGTGAACGATTAGGTTGAGTTAGTGTTAAGTTACGTTTGGTTAGGTTAGATTAGGTTAGGTTAGGTTAAGTTCAATATCAAGTTCAAAGTAAAATGGTTAGGGTAGGTTAGGTTAAGTTCAAGATCAAGTTCAAAGTAAAAAAAATCGATTTAACTCAATAACACATCTCGACCTAACCTAACTGCCCATTTCGACCTAACCTAATTTCCATCATCTCGACCTAACCTAACTGCAATCTACTACACATTTCGACCTAACCTAACCGTCGTCTCTAATAAAAAAATAAACAGAATACATACGCAGAAAGTCGTACTACAAATGCGCAAAACTCAACTTTCTTATTTATATCAATAGATGATAAAGAATTGGTAGACAGTTAAAACAGAATCGTACGTTACCTATAGCATGGAACGAAACGAAATAGCACGCAATATCCAAAACCCAATAGGTTTATATTACAACGAAAAAATACAAACACAAAAGTAAAAAATGCCCCATTTTCAGGGGAATTAGGGGGAAATCAACTCACGCTAGCGAAGTTTACGCCTTTTACGATGACGAAGCCGTTCAGAACGACAACGTTTCGATGAGAGAGTTCTACAGATACTATTGTGCGATTCGCGACGAACCGACGGGAGAAACGCACTTTTTATTTCCGTACGGTAACATAGCCCAAGAGTATATGTTGGATCAAAGCGTCAAGGTGGATCAACAACTCTACGAATTTATTAAGAAAAATTACGACACTTTGTGCACCACGGCGACGGAAGTGCGTGATTATTTACAAAGAGAACTCAGAAAAACCGATCCGAATAAAACGTTAGGGAAAGTGTTGCGCCTCACGACAAGCGTCGTCGGTTCTCCCGCGTGGTATCAGCAGTACTTCCACGATTCGATGGCGATGTTTCAACGCATAGGTAGACCGACTTTTATGACTACGACGACGAGCAACCCGACCTGGAAAGAGGTCAAAAACAGCATGATGAAAAATCAAAACGTCGTCGATCGTCCCGACGTATTATGTAGAGTATTCGCGATCAAGATTAACATGATGCGAGACCTTATAGAAAAGAAACACATTTTCGGTAAACCGAAGGCTTTTCTAGAAGCATTGGAATTCCAAAAAAGAGGCGGTCCTCACACTCATCGCTTGATTTCGGTCGATTGTCCTCATACGCCCGAATTCGTCGACGAATACATTTCGGCGGAGATACCGGTACTACCTCCGGCGAGTGACAAGAGCGAAAAAGCCGAAATGCAAAGAAGGCTACACGATTTGGTGATAAAATTGCAAATTCACACCTGCAACTTTCATTGCCTAAACGAAAAGAAAAAGTGTTCGAGAGGTTTTCCAAAGAGATACTCGAACGTGACGATAATTTACGAAGATAAACCGGCCGTATACAAACGCAGATCACCCGACGATGGCGGCACCTTTCATCGCACGACAAACGGTCGAGTAATAACGAATGCTTGGGTAGTTCCGTACAATCCAGCTTACCTTTTGGCGTTAGGTGCTCATTCGAACGTAGAATTCGCATACGGAGACGCTGCCTGCAAATATCTGATCAAGTATCATTTCAAGATGGGAAACTTTGCATACGTCCAGATCGCCGAGGGCAATACCGACGTCGTGGATTACGACGAGACGCAAGGCATCATGAAGGGTCATTATCGTTCGGCGATACGGCGTACGCGAGACTGTACAGTTGGCGCATCATTCGAATGTCCCACACCGTTTATCGTCTGAACGTACACCTGGAAGGCGAAGGACCGCAGTATTTTAGACGCGGCGCGGAAGACAAAGTCAAAGCGAAAATATTCGAAGGCAACGCGAAACTTTCGCAACTCGAGATGTTCATGAAACAATGTTTGGAAGAGTCGCGACAGCAAATAAGCGAAATTCGAAACGTCACCTTCGCCCAACTACCGGAAACGCATTGGTTTAACCAAAAGACCAACCGATGGCAAAAGAGAAAACGAGAAAGAAAAATTGTAGGTCGTTTGTATCCCGTTTTGCCCAATCATACAGAAAAGTTCGCCTTATATCAACTGCTGCTTTACAAGAAGGGCCCGCTGGGCTGGGATGATTTGAAAACTCCTCCCAATAGCACGACGCCCTGTAAAACGTTCGTCGAATGTGCAAAATTGATGGGTCTTCTGGACGACATCGAAATCTGGCGCAGAACCCTGTTCGAAGCTAGCAACGTAGGAAATCCGAGAACGATGAGAAATTTGTTCGCCCAAATCTTACTGCTCGGTTACGTCGCCGATCCGCTCGCTTTGTGGAACGAGTTTTTGCCGCACATGTACGACACGAGAAACTTGCGACAGAACGACGAGATAGAAAGGTCGCGAAGAATTAACATAGCTCTTTGTCTACTCAATCGACTGCTCGGGCATCACTTCACGAACAACGCGTTCTTTCACATTCCGATGCCGGAAAATTACAACGCCGTTTGCGACCACGAAAACGAGTTTTTCTTCGGCCAAAATCGCGCACTGGACGGCGAAAACGAGTCTGATCCTACACTGGCGGAGTTTCCGTTACAACGCAGAAACGACGACGCCATAGAGACCGAAGACATAGGCAATTACGCCACTTTGGCGAGTTACCTACGCCTAAACGAGGAGCAAAAGATCGTCGTAGACATCGTCGTTCGAGCGATGCAAAGTTCGCCGTCGGACGCCACGACGCCGAGACTCGTCTTCATGAACGGTGCCGGAGGCACGGGCAAGACGTTCGTTTACAAAACGATCATCGACATGTTCATCAAATACAGAAGGTACGTCATCATGACGGCGAGCACCGGAGTAGCCGCCCAACTCCTGCCCAGAGGGATGACGGTGCACAAGGCCTTTAGCATACCACTAGATGTCCTCGACGTCAACAAGATTCCGTCGATATCCGGTGGCAGCGTGATGGCGCAAAGAATTCGGAAATCGGAAGCGATAATTATCGACGAGATAAGCATGCTGCGCACAAAAACGTTCTTAGAATGGTCAACGAAGCTTGCAAAAACGTCGAAGCGAATAACGAGACGAGAAAGCTACCGTTCACCGGTAAAGTTATCCTATTAGGCGGTGATTTTCGTCAGCTATTACCTGTAATTCAAAATTCCAGTCTATCGGAACAGGTCGCGGCCTCCGTGAAAAACTCCGAAATATTTAGCCTATTCCATCAGGTGAATCTTACGAGAAACTTACGCGTCAATGCCAACGAGGTAGAGTTCGTCGATATGCTCGAGCGCATCGGTAAAGATAGCGACAACTCCGGCGAGTTTCAAATACCGCAGGAAATGTTGGTTAACAGCGAGGACGAACTTATCCGATTCATTTATCCGAACGTCGAATCGCTTCAAGTCGAAAAGGAGGTCGCGAACAAACTAATAATGAGCGCGAGACGCGCCGACGTCAGGCGATTAAACGACAAAATTTTAAACATGCTTCCGGGCGAAGAACGCGAGTATCTGTCCGCCGACCAGTCGTTAGTCGATAATCCCGTATTGGACGTACACGCGGCCATACACGACGTCGCATTCCTAAACGACGAAAATCCTTCGGGATTTCCTCCTCACAGGTTAAGGCTCAAAAAGCACTCTATCGTCGTTCTAATAAAAAATGTAGACGTCAGACAGGGCCTGGCGAACGGCACGCGCCTGTTCATTACCGATTTAGGTGATAACATAATACACTGTAAAATCGCGGTAGGCCCTTACGAGGGAAGAACGTGCGCTCTGGCGATGTTACCTTTCGTTTACGAGGACAAACGACCCGACGGTAACGGTCTTCATTTTAAAAGAACCCAATTTCCCGTCGATCTCGCCTACGCATTGACGATTAACAAATCGCAGGGTCAGACGGTTAATAAAGTGGCGTTGCTACTAACTTCTCCGCTATTCAGTCACGGCCAGCTATACGTGGCGATGAGTAGAGTGCGCACGGCGTCCTCCATTAAAATTTTTACAAGCGATCGCAACTCGAAAGTGCGAAATATCGTGGCGAAAAGTATTTTCAATTGAACAAATTCAAATGAATAATGTTCATTATTGACAAAAATACACGTGTCGTACTCGTAACCTTTATTTAGTTACACGCAAAGTGTACTAAATGCCGTATCACATCGAGTAGTTTACGCATAGTATCTACTCACTGTAATTACACATAGTAATTATTAAATTAATAAAAGTTACGAATAGTAACAGCCATCTCACCAAACTGGTGCGGGTCGTTCATGACGGAAGAGGTATAACAATTTTTACAACGTGTATATTTTTCAAATAACGTACATATATGTAAATATAGTAATGGAAATAGAAATTTTTCATATTTTTATATTAGATTAATTGCTAAATAACCATGTTATAAGAATTGTTGTATACGCCTAACGGCTAGGTATGCGCGTGTCACCCAACAATCCGTGATCCTCAACAAGTCCACGCGAGCACCATGGCGCATACCGGAAGTAAAATGCGATATTTCGTTTTTTTTACTTCCTATTCCGGTTAAAAATGTGCAAACACGCGAATTCATTACCTATTTATGTATATTTCCAAAATGTAGAAATAGTGTATTTAACCACATCATATATTTACATTGTACATGCGTGTGATGGGTTATTTGCACGTCAAAATATTATACAGTAAATTTAATTGTTCGACAACGTATGCAAGGTTTATAAAATTATTTCCATTAATGTCTATAAAATCCTCGTCAAGAAAGAATATCGCTCCCAAAATATCCGATGCCAATAATCTTATATAATCGATACGATTGTAAATTGACATCGGATGTTCTGCTACCGGCACTCTTTTCTCGACGAACATAATGTCTATGTTCATGAAATTTAATTTCAAAATCAAAAACAAAACAAACATTAACGTATTTGCCAATTTTTCGAAATAATCTTATAAACTATCGCTTACTAATGTATCTTCCAAAGTTTGCAGGTTGCCGATGAAAAATGGTGTAGGCTCTCACGGTTTTGGGCTAGCTATTATTTTGTTGGGGAAAGTCAGCATATGGCTTTCGAAACTGAACCATTGTAATACTGATGGAAATTATGCGTATGCATGTACAAATAACTATCTAACATATTAAACATTAAATAATACAATTTCTATCTTTAGTACAATGTGTCGGGTTCAATGACACATGTTCATGCGACCTATAAAATGTCACAACAGCTACGCCCGGATGGCGGTGTACAACCGCATAGGTGTACAACCATTAGCCTCGGTGACACCAATCGGTGAGGCTAGATGTATACGAGCAATAATAAATCAATGAAAGGTCGAGTACAAAAAGACACGTTCTTATATGAATTTATTACTATTACGAGTCCAGACACATATGTATTGGACAAATAGACGTTTCTTTTCCGTTTGGTTTATTTTAGAATTAACATAATTCCTAAAAATATTAAATATTGTTGGTCAACTGGTAAAAAAATCGCACATCAAATAAATTTAATTAAATTTATTATAAGTAAAATAAATTCCAATACATATGTTACTGGGCTTGTATTATTATCCACAGAGCCAAGTTTTCGATGCATATTTTCGTAAGTCCAATTTTGGACATTACCTATTTCTTGCTTCGAAACAAGGTGAATGTTACCGATCACATGTTATGTGATTTGGTAGTGCGGTTGTTAAATCGATTACATTTTAATCAATGTATTTTTTTAAATTATAAGCGTAAGTATAAATATTTATATTGATATTAATATTTATTTCGAATTAATCTTCCTTTGTAGAAATTTGAGACATGTACGAAATGGGATATAGGCGAATGAATAGATAAGTACAAGTAACATAAAAATGTGAAAATCATAGTCCAACGTGAAAATTCGTATTTATCAGTGACCAGCGAACAAACAACTTTTGCAAAAAGATTTTACATTTATACAATATATTTATATAAATAGATAACATTATATTATTTATGATATCGTAAATTGTAATAAATATTATTTTTAAATAAAAAAAAATGAACAACGTAATTTGGTTTTTATTTTATTGCCAAGGTATAATTTTCATATGCATATAATCGTCAACTTTTGGACATTACTTCTTGCTTCGAAACTAGATAAATGTTTCCGATCACATGTTACGTGATTTGATAGTGCGGTTGTTAAATCGATTACATTTTAATCAATGTATTTGTTTAAATTATACGCGTAAGTATAAATATTTATATTGATATTAGTATTTATTTCGAATTAATCTTCCTTTGTAAAAATTTGTGACATGTACAAAATGGGATATAGGCGAATGAATAAATAGGTACAAGTAACACAAATATCTGAAAATTATAGTCTAACGTGAAAATTCATATATATCAGTGACCAGTGAATAAACAACTTTTGCAAGAAGATTTTACATTTATACAAAACATTATATTATTTATGATATCCTAAATTGTAATATTATTTTTAAATAAAAAAAAATGAGCAACGCAATATGGTTTTTATTTTATTGGCAAGGTATAATTTTCATATGCATATAATCGTCAACTTTTGGACATTACTTCTTGCTTCGAAACTAGGTGAATGTTATCGATCACATGTTGTTAAATCGATTACATTTTAATCAATGTATTTTTTTAAATTATACGCGTAAGTATAAATATTTATATTGATATTAGTATTTATTTCGAATTAATCTTCCTTTGTAAAAATTTGTGACATATACAAAATAAGATATAGGCGAATGAATAGATAGGTACAAGTAACACAAATAAGTGAAAATCATAGTCCAACGTGAAAATTCGTATTTATCAGTGACCAGTGAATAAAAAATTTTTGCAAGATTTTACATTTATAAAATATATTTATATAAGTAGGTTTGTAATAAATATTATTTTTAAATAAAAAAATGAGCAACGCAATATGGTTTTTATTTTATTGTCAAGGTATAATTTTTATAATTTTTCGTATGCATATAATCGTCAACCTATTAATTTATTATACATGTTACATAACGTATTTTTATACCCTTTTTTTCAAATTTTTAGATTCGAATGAACAACGTCTGCAATACAATATCTATATACTTCATCGCACAACTGTAACCGTAACCAATTGAAATGATCACCGTAAAAAGAATGAGAATAAAAAATGAATTAAATTGAACAACGTTTAGACAAATGGTGATTCCTACAACAATAAATTAAAAAGGTAATAACAAACTATTAAGGAAAAATAACTTAACTTATTTTATTACAGGTACATTCATCGTAAATGCCTTAATTTATAATATGAAATTATTGAATCGAGAGAATTTCAATTTCGGCACTTAGGAAAAAACAACTTGGAAATAAAACAATATCTAAACGAGAAAGATTAGAGTACTTTAATTATAGGTATTGTAAAAACAATTATCAATATAATAGATATCAATATTTTATTTTTCATATTATCATAAATCTATCTGTGACAGATAAGGTATGTTTTATGTTTATTTTTAGATTTTTAATAAATGAATAAGAATTAATTTTTTTATTTAAATATGAAATTACTGTATTATATAATAAATATTTTAAAATTTCTACCTCTTTTTTGTTTGAAAAAAATTTGTTCTAATTAAATTTAAGTTTGTACATTTGTATTTATTATGTGTTTTTGTAATTTAAATATATAAGCTAACATTGATCTCTATAGGTTCTACTGACTAAACGTACATGCAGTGGCGGATTTACATATAGGCGAAAACTTTAAAGAGCGACATTTTTGCAATATATTTATTTTAGATAATATTTTAAAACTTTTAAAATGAATTTATTCCCTAGCAAGTTACAAATGACATACTTACGTTTTTAATTAAAATTATGAAATAAATTAGAATTGGTAGATAGTTTAAGCAAACTGTATAATTGTAAGAGCGATAGTAGACAATGCAAATTATTATGTGTGTGAAAACTTGATCTTGGCTGTAACACCGCATCTATAAATTCTTTCGATAAGCCAAACTCAAATTTATAAACGTGTTTCAAAAAAATACATGACTTCGAAGCGATTTTTTTGCAAAATTTCGAGTTTTACAACTTTCACGAGTAAGATTTTTTACAAACGCAAAAAAATTTAATATTAATTCATTTATTTGCTACGTCGATAAAAATTACTTTTCTTTGAAAATACATTGTGACTAATAGCTTTACCGAATTTAACTTTTAATAAATCATCCGACACGAAATGCTATACTTTTTAATTTGAATGAGAATTAAATATTCTATGCGAGATGCCCTCTATCTTCGAATCGTAAACGCAAATCTAAAAATATCACGATTTTTTAATTGTCAAAAGTGTAGCACACAAATCAATCGAAAATTCGTTTACAATTATGTATTTTGGAATACTTATAAAAATTATTTCCGACTTTGTACATTTTATCAATTTTAATTTAATTTTTAATAAATTGTTCGGATTCTCCCATTATGGATAGGTACCTGTCAAAAACGGACGTTTTAAATAAATAAATTACCTTCCTATGTTGCTCATACAAAAGGAAAGCTATAGGTACCTGTCCACGTTAAAAATATTGTAGGAAAAACACACTTTTTTTTCTGTATATCTGGGCTTTAATTGTTGAAAAGAACAAAATAGATTACATGTGTATACAACAAAATTATAAACTTAAATAATGCACATTAGAATGTTGAAATTTCAATGTTAATTTCCCTATATCGAAATATTTTCTTTCCCTAATTAATTTAGAAAAAAATGTCAATCGATTTCTTGTAGCTCGAAAAATTCTGCAACTGCTAATGTCTTAGTTTAATTTTGAATTCAGGACAATTCGGGAAAAAATAACATGGAAATTAGTATTTGCGTAAAATGCTTATATTTTACCGCAGTCACTTGTACCGTGAAATTATTGAAAAAATTTATATTTCTCCGGAACAAAAAATTACAAATAGACACACGAATAGATGCAAAAATTTAACATTTTACTGTACATCAAAATCTTTATCATACATGAAACAATTCTACACCCTGTATGATATTTAAATATGATCAAAGCAGCTTGATTCGATTGTTTTATAACGGCCATTTTCCCATTAACTTTGAAAGAGTAACATTATTTTGAGTTGTGGTGGTAAAAATTAAACTATAAAAATGCAAGGCGATGGAGAAAATCTAACTGTAAGTAATTTAATTTATCCTCACGTCTTACAATTGTTAATTACACAAAAAAACAATAAAATTATCATACAGCGCCCATAAACGTTACGTTATACATTCATAGTAAAACTACACAAACCAATTTGTCAATTTACATTTTAAAAGGACGTTAACATAAAAAATACAGTCCTATTGGACATATATGCCATAAATTACAAATAGACACACATAAACATTTTACTGTAAAGTACTTAATTACCATCGAAATCTTTATCATACATAAACCAATTCTACACCCTGTATGATACTTAACTATCTACAATAATATAATCAAAGCAACTTGATTCGATTGTTTTATAACGACCATTTTCCCATTAACTTTGAAAGTGTAACATTATTTTGAGTTGTGGTGGTAAAAATTAAACTATAAAAATGCAAGGCGATGGAGAAAATCTAACTGTAAGTAATTTAATTTATCCTCACGTCTTACAATTGTTAATTACACAAAAAAACAATAAAATTATCATACAGTGCCCATAAACGTTACGTTATACATTCATAGTGAAACTACACAAAGCAATTTGTCAATTTACATTTTAAAAGGACGTTAACATAAAAAATATAGTCCTATTGGACATATATCCCCAACGATAAGCCTACAATCGAGTTTAACTACGTCTATGCAAATTATTATTAGCTACGGTACTCGCCCAAATTACTACACGTAATATAACATACGGACGAGTGTGATTATCACCTTGCGATTGATTATCTAAGAAATAAGCAAAACTATCATAATTATACATGTTTCTCTTAAATAATAAGCGATTCAATCGAAAACTACACTACCGTAATGATTTCAAAATGTAATTACATAAAAGATTTTCATACCATTATCAAAGCAATCCAAACATGCAATTGTTTAAGACGGCCATTTCACTAAAAAAATGACACCAAAATTTAAAGTAAATCTTTCAAAAATGGAAAACGCCATGAAAAACTTAACAGTAAGTACAGTAATTTATTCTAATTCTTAAATTAATCTTACACAACTACTAATTACATTGCAAAACAATAAAATTAACGTACAATGCCATAAATACTCTTACCTACATTAACAAAGCTGTCGTACATCTTCATCAAACCGAAGTTACACAAAACAATTCCCCATAATCGTGACGTAGATACCTTAATAATTTTACACAACATAAAATACACAATCACATGACATGCATACCTCCATCAAAATCTACATTTATTATACCTACAAATTATAATTAACGTTAACTACATTTAAGAGAAACGCTATCTGTACCATTGCCTCAAAAAGTGGCTACACTTCCTGGAACAATAAAACTTTCAAATTCGCTAATTTCCTTTTTAAACCAAAAATAAACAAACATATTCTTATTTGCAAAGGTATAAAGTATATAAAAAATATTTAAAATTTTTCATTCTACATAGCTTTTCCGGAAACTTTTTATGCGATCCGATTCACGTTCACACAACTTTACTAGTACAAGAGTTACGTAACTAATACTACAACATTAAAAGCATAACGCTTAATACCAATCAACTTCCTGTACTTTTCTTTCCTTTCCTTAAAATTTTTGATTTTTCAGATTAACGACGATTATCAACATTTTTTAAATGTTTACGTTGGCGAAGGACGAGACCTACCCTTCTCCAACATCGACGAATTGGAAATGAACACTTTCAATCTTCCTCCGACTGAGTATACACACATGTATGCAGTCGGAGAAGATTTCGAAAGAGCCCATCGAAACGTGAAACGTTTAATGTAAGTATAGTCATCTTCAACCTAAAAACCATTCATTTAAAATTAACAAATGCATTAACATTTACCTGAAACTTACAATCTATAACTGCAATACCTAACCATACATCTTGAACAAATCCTTGGAACCGTCACTTTCAGGTAAAAAAATATTTGTAAAGTTACTATACCTAAAATCAATAATCGAAAAACGAATATAATAACGGCTCATGCTCATCCAAATACAAAATACACACACAACCAAACTTATTACATACACAATCGATATACGTACAATACCGATCTATTTTAAAACTGGTAGATTTTAAATAGGGTCAGTGGCGTACAACTGAACACATTTTCCAATTCCCACTTCATAAGCGTTACCGTAATTTTTACAGTAGGTACGTACAAATTAATTTACGACAGTGGCGTAGGTAGTACACCACTGTAAGCATAACAAACGCGTTGCCACATACACCGTTAAATAAATTTAGATTTCATGTAAAATAATCCCTGTCTTTACATTCTATGTCATCTTCATATTAAATATTTTCTTTTTCAAATTAATTAAACTTCCAAAATGAATTGTTTGAAAATTAACATACCTTTAAAACAATGTTTACAATTTTCATTTAAAATTTTTTTATAAATAATCACATCCAATAGAGAAATAAAATTTTTCGCATAGAATTGTGAGTATGTTTTCATTAAATGTCTGCTTTAAAGGTAAATTCATTGTTATAAACAACAATTATATAAAATTTGTAAATTACAATTTATTCAAAATCAAACATACTGTCTACTTTTTAACTTTCAAACATGTATTTCAATCAAAATTACAAAATAGGCACAAACAGTTTATACAGAGTGCACTCTATTAAATTCCGAAATATCTGTTACTTATAAACCAATAAACCATTTTTATCTTAAACTACAACTGTAATGTACTAAATAAAAGGTTAATCATAATTAATAATAATCATGAGATTCAAAAATGACAAATGCTTATGAACCGCACAAAATTGTTATTTATTTATTTATAACTTTGTAAAAATCAGACCAATTTAACTAGAATTTTGTACCAACTTTTTATCTGATGGTCCAGAAGGCTGAGAAGCAAAAAAATTTTGATTGAGAGAAGACAGTGGAAATTTTATGTCACATCTAAAATTAAATAATTTAACAGTTCACGGTAAGAAATTATCACCTAACTAATTGGTCGTGTTATTAAATACAGTTGTGAACAAAATAATTGCTGTATAATGCATCAATCAGTGCAATTTGGCAAGGCACACTCGCTGCCATTTTATTTAAATACACAATAAAAACAGTATCTATTTACCTTTCGTTAATTATTTAATTTAATTAAGCAATTGAAATTATTTTAGATGTAAATAAACATTCTCATCATCAAAATTTGTTATACCTTACTGTAATTTCACAAAAATCAGTTATCGAACAAGCGATTTAGAAAATCGTTCCTAAACTATTGACGCAGTCTGTAAAGAACATAACAAATTTCATTACAAAAAATATATTTCTTCGAAAAATTAAAATTTAACTTCAAATTACAAAACACATACGACATACAAAACAACAATTAAAACTAATAAAAATAACGTAATAAATAACACATTCACCACACATCACATATTTACCAATCACAACATAATAAAAATTCATAAAAAATAAAAAAAATATATATATACAAACTAAATCTAACAAAAATAATATTATAAAAAACACAATCACACATTTACAAATCACAAAGCATAAAATAAAAACTAAACACTATAAAATATTTACAAATACGTATTTACAATTACAATTGTTGAAAACAATAACTTTTTATATTTTAGAACACCTGATCTATGGGAATGGGCAAAAAACAACGCCACAAACTCCCACATTAGCCTCCCTTGCCCAAATGGGGTCAAACTCACATTGATATTTCTGGAACCAAACGAAACACGAAGCATACGAGCACTATACAAGTGCTTAAAAAATTGTGTAGATGCATTTATCGCAACGAATTATAAAGCTAAAATTGCGACGATTCCCGGCATGGGGACATCTTTGGACCCCGCCATAACAAAAAAATTACTACAATACGTCCTACAGTCAACCGATTATAGGGTCCTTATTTGCAAGGACCCTATAAAAAAAAAGGTAAATATACGTTTCATTTTGATCACAAATTTTAATTCGATACAAATTTACAGCCGCATCAAAATTTCATTCCTAAATGGTAAGTTTCAAACAATTAAATGAAAATTCTAACTTATCGTTTACAGGAAAAAAAATAAGCCTTACGAAAGGCACAGAAATTAATTTTAAGTTTTCTCTTCTTTTTTTTCTATTTCATTTTCATTTTTTTTCTACTTCATTCGTTTAATTTTCTTTCTATACTTTTTGATTTCATTTAATTCTTCATTATCATTTAATATTGTTTCTTCATTTTTTCAATTCATTATTTTCTATAATTAAATTTTCTATACCTCTATGCATTTCTTTCTTTTCCATCTATTGGAAGACTTACTGGACTCCGATAATTTCAGCTTACACATCTAAATTATAAAAAAACGATAATATTAAAAATGAAAATTACTTTTACGCTCATCTTACCAAACAAAGTAGATACAGTTGTACAATCTTGACATCCAGAATTAAGTATATTTCAAAAACAGAAAATACAGTTCAACTGAAAAACAAATATATCATTGTATTTGTATTATCGAACAAAAAATAAACACCTAACTTTTTTGCTATAAAAATTACCTGTTACAACATTTATGTCGGATTTCACAATAGATGATTAAGGTTAATCACAGATTATAAAATATTAGAATGGGAAACAAATTAGTGTATAATCAAAGGTGGCTATAGGTAACATTCTAATATTTTTAATCGTCGACTAACCATAATCGTTAATTAACCTTAATTGTCGTTTGTGAAACCGGGCACTAACCTAATAATCGAAACTGGATAACATTCTAATATTTTTAATCAACGATTAACCTTAATCATCGTTTCTGAAACCATGCATTAATGTTTGTACCAACAAATAAGTAACAAGTGAGAAAAATATTTCTAAAAAAAATAAATAAACGATACACTCCACAATATATTTTCATGCTACTAACATATACTATTTGAGAAATGTATAGGTACCCTTGCATGAGGATTTATGAAATGTTTGGTAATAAAGAATAAGAGATTATAAAACTACATACAGTATTACCTAATTTATACTATCAAACATTAGTACAAGCAAAATTGTATAATAGAAACGTTCAATATTACCTATACACTCACCTTACGATATAAAGATGCCATAATATAAAATAATTTTGAACGAAAACATCTTTTTACTTCACCTGATTCTAAATAAATTAGGTTAAGTACACTTTACGCAAGATAACTTAGTACAGTGGCGGAACACAAACTTGAAAAATTACGTATACCTATAAAATTTTAACGCATAAGAGGAGCGTCATTAAATACTATTCCATAGGGGGCGCAGCTTCAGTATCGAAAAAAAAAATTGTATTTTTAGCTTTAAACGTCGTGAGCGTACCCGAGTAAAACTATGGTAGATCCTTCTAATAAAAACAAACAAAATGCTTACGTAAAAAATCCTACTATACATGCACAAAACCCACCTTTCTTATTTATGTCAATAAATGATAAAAAATTGATGTACACATACAACAAAATCGCACGTCACCTATAGCATGAAACGAAACAACGTAGCATACAATATATAAAACCCAATAGGTTTATATTACAACGAAAAAATACAAACACAAACGTAAAAAATGCCCCATTTTCAGGGGAATTAGGGGGAAATCAGCTCACGCTAGCGAAGTCTTAAAATGCGTAGCATTTTTACAAACACATACGCCGAGTTTGACTTAAACAAAATAAACTATCGATATATTGGTGCTTTTTCGAGCCGAATCAAATTTCTTTTCCCTTTTTAGAAAATTGTACCGTCAACCAACATTAACTATATTCTCACAACCATTAAAAAAAAATAAAAGAAAATAAATTTTTTTTTTAATTTACAAACGGTAAACCTCAAAGAAACAACAAGTGCTTGGAAAATAATGGACAAATGTCATCATAGTCTGTAATGTCGGCTTTAGGTACTTTTAATTTTAGGTTTTTCTATTGTTTTTTTGCAAATCTGTTGATCTACTGTTTCATTTACCTCAAAGATACAAAAAAACACAACATAGGGATTTATATGAGAAAATGCTGATAAGAATTACAGCTAGAATAATAACTCAGAGTGCATTTAACAGGGAATTTAATTCTGAAGCGGTATTATATTAATGTGCAGTTTTTCAATCACTGGAATTTCTTTTTAATATGATACACTTATAGTGATTAAAAAATTGTGCAAATTAATACAATTCACTTCGGAATTAAATTCTATGTCTAATATAATTTTAATTCTCATTTTTCCTGTAATCGTGACGAACCTATCGACATAATTATATTTTCTTATGTAAATTCTATGTTTTGTCTCCCGATTCTACACCCTGTATAAACAATGCAAGTTATATGGGATCCGCTTGCACGGTCAACGAGAATGTATCTTGTAGATTAATTAGCCATATTTTGCCACTCCGCACCAGCTTTAGAAAATTTGTTATTAACAAATTAGTGCAAAAAAAGGGTTTTTTCCACTTTTGCTTCTGGAACAAAAGCTAAAACAGCTATTTGAATACTGTAAAAGAAAAAGTTGTAGAGAATGAAAATACAAACAAATTGCAATTTAGACCAAATCGATCGGATGCTGAGAAAATTTAAAAAATGTCGGAATCAAATTATTTTTTTTTTTACATTTATATCACCACTATTTTTGAACTTGTAGCGTAGATCTTTCGGGAAATGATAGTTATTGATAAATATTTTATGTGTGCGGAAGCTAGACTCAGTCGGTGTATTACTTTTTGTACTATTGGGCGTAATGTTTTCGTATTTTCTTTTATTATCTCAGTAATTATTATCTGTATTTTCAAGCCACAGTTGCAATTGGTGAATTACCCGACAAGTATGCCGTGCAGCTACTCCTTCTGTTGGTGGCAAAGTTTATAGGGCAAACTCTATCCAAAACTGCTTCGGTAAGGCGCTATCTACCACCGCAGATTAAAAAAATTGTTATTTTTATTTTATCGGGTAATGGTTTTGCCGATTAAAATAAAATTCGGGATGTCAATGTTTAATGTAAATAGAGTATTTGTGGTATCATCGTTTTGATTGTAGTTCCTATGTAGGTAGTAAAACACTGACCATCCACATCTGAAGAGGTCTAAAACTTTTCAACTACTATCTTGACGGTTCTGAACTTTTACACACTGATATGACAGTTTACTTGCAAGCATTTTTTGTCTCTTGATAAATTTCGCTATCTATGATGGTGTATGATAAATGGCATGCACCATAAACGTTACGCCCCTCTACGGTTTCATAGCCTTCTAGCTTGCACAGATGGTTTTTGAGGAACAATTGTATTTATGGTGCATGCGATTTTTTTTTTAGTTTTTGCTCCAGAAGCAAAAGCGTAAAAAAACCTCTTTTTTGCACTAATTTGTTAATAACAAATTTTCTAAAGCTGGTCCGGAGTGGCAAAATATGGCTAATTAATCTACGATTTATTACATGAAAAAATTTCTATTGATTGGCCTAATGATGCAAATAATGTCAGTTGCATATCTTGTGTGCTTGACGCATCGAAACACCACTCAAATCTAATAAACTATCTCTTATAGGTACACAATACCTCAAACATAATGGCGGGAAGAAAAAAGTCTTCTGCATCAAAATTGGTAGAAGAGATCATGAAAAACAATAGTGATGTATTTTTTGAGGATGAAAAAATTGCGGTACCGTCATCCGATAAATGGTTGAAAATAATAGCAGAGTATCAACTAAACATTACAGCAAAAAATTTATATACACGCGCTTTAAGATACTTTAAATCACACCGCTGCACTAATGAAATCTTTGAAACCTGCGATGACGTTATGGTGGAAGAAAATTCCGGAGATGATGTAAACGAATCAGTTAGTGAATCAGACTGCGTCGCCAACGATGTCAGATATTTTCAAATATTTATTACCATGGAGGATTGGAAAACCATAAAACCTACTTTAGTAACTTACAACGTTAAAACCAAAAATTATATTCGTCAAAGGCAATACTTAAAATTACAACAAAACATTTGGACTACCGTAGTCACAAAGGCTATATGGCATTCAATTAAATGCCGATGTGTTTGGAAGTTTAACTCCCAATATATCACCACCAATGTAGACATGCCTTCAAAATTGTCAATTAAAGGAGTATGTACGGAGTGTTCCGCTGCTTTGCAATGTGAATTAAACGATCTAAACATAAACGAAAGTGAAGCTGGAGTATTTCTTAAGTGTAATATACAAGGCGATTTTAATATTAAGCATAAGAAAAAAGGAAAATTTTTTGGAGTTGAGAGAAGACTATACAGCACCGATATGGTTGAAAAACATAAACCTGCTTCTGTTGTTCGTAAATCTCTTTCTGGTCAGCTTGGAGATTTGTTTGACGAGGAACCACCTGTGTTACCGGATTCCAGGAAAATTCTTCGAAAACGATTCTTCGAAAGTAAATTCTTCGAAAACAATTCTTCGAATACAGTTCTTCGATTCGGAAAGTTCTTCGGAAGTAAATTCTTCGAAAACAATTCTTCGAATACAGTTCTTCGATTCGGAAAGTTCTTCGGAAGTAAATTCTTCGAAAACAATTCTTCGAATACAGTTCTTCGATTCGGAAAGTTCCCCAAAAATATAATTATTCGAAATAAATTTTTTGAACCATAAATATCATTCTTAAAAAAATGATTCATTTGGGCTAATTTTTTAAATAAACATTTACCCATTAGAGCCTATCGGCGTTACCCAGAAGACACCACGAGGAGGTTGGCTCTACTGTCTTCCATAATTTTGCTTGTCAATACTTTTTTGTTGTTGTTTTTTTGCTTTTTGTTTACAATATTTACAATGTTTTGGGGCAGTTCGTGCACTATGTGCGGTTGTCAATACTTTTTTGTTGTTTTTTTGCTTTTTGTTTACAATATTTACAATGTTTTGGGGCAGGCAGTTCGTGCACTATGTGCGGTTGTCAATACTTTTTTGTTGTTTTTTTGCTTTTTGTTTACAATATTTACAATGTTTTGGGGCAGTTCGTGCACTATGTGCGGTTGTCAATACTTTTTTGTTTTTTTTTTGCTTTTTGTTTACAATATTTACAATGTTTTGGGGCAGGCAGTTCGTGCACTATGTGCGGTTGTCAATACTTTTTTGTTTGTTTTTTTGCTTTTTGTTTACAATATTTACAATGTTTTGGGGCAGTTCGTGCACTATGTGCGGTTGTCAATACTTTTTTGTTGTTTTTTCTGCTTTTTGTTTACAATATTTACAATGTTTTGGGGCAGTTCGTGCACTATGTGCGGTTGTCAATACTTTTTTGTTGTTTTTTTGGTTTTTGTTTACAATATTTACAATGTTTTGGGGCAGGCAGTTCGTGCACTATGTGCGATTGTCAATACTTTTTTGTTTTTTTTTTGCTTTTTGTTTACAATATTTACAATGTTTTGGGGCAGTTCGTGCACTATGTGCGGTTGTCAATACTTTTTTGTTGTTTTTTTGCTTTTTGTTTACAATATTTACAATGTTTTGGGGCAGGCAGTTCGTGCACTATGTGCGGTTGTCAATACTTTTTTGTTGTTTTTTCTGCTTTTTGTTTACAATATTTACAATGTTTTGGGGCAGTTCGTGCACTATGTGCGGTTGACAACACTTTTTTGGTTCTATATTTTTTTTCATTTCACAAACTAAATACGTATTCTAATAGGTAATGTTGTGGGCAATTCCTCGAAGGTATGGCACTACGTCATTGGCTGGATCAAAATCTAATATTAAACGTCGTATTCGTTCCGCACAATCGCGATACTTCTTTCGGCTAGCTGGCGGTTGCTGCCCACTATGGTATTGCTCAATTCTCAACTCATTGAGGCTCTGTTCTTTCTTAAGCGCATTAACAAACTTCCATATGTTTGGATGATTTCCGCCTAACATCTCCTGGAAGCCGCGATGCCATCCCTCTAGAGCGTTGTTAGTCTTTGGCAAGTTTTCCAGTACACTGTTGTAGCAGTTCCACATGACATGCGCAAATCGTGGTGCACGACGACGCAGTCGTCTGTCAGGGCGGCCAATCCAGGTGTCTTCGAAATAATCAATTACTGGCTGGGCTTCTGGTGGAAAGACGTTGTTATCCAATAACAGATCAAAGGATTGCACTAACTCGTTAAGAGGAACAAATGCTAGTGCTGACAGGTAGCGCATAGTGAGTGCAAAATCAGCATCAGTTTCGTATCGTTGCTGTAACCCATTTGACTGGATAGAACGAAAAATACACTGGCAAAAGTGAAAAAAGCATCCACGCACAACAACTCCAGGAAATTCGCTTTCAATGGCACCGATTATTGCACTTTCGTAGTCTATTAATATCGTTTCTGGGTTAACAGTTGCCTCGAGCTGCTTAATTTGTCCAAGAAGTCGCACATAGGTATTGTGAGTTTTATCAGGCAAGAGAGCGTATACTAAAGGTATGCTGTTGCTGTGTCTAAGTCCATGTATGGTATATAGTTGCGCGAAAAGCGGTGGAGATACCTTAAATGTGCCGTCAGCATACCAGTGACTAGAACGTGCCAATAGCTGTAAGTTTCGTCTGGTAGAAAAAATCAAAATTCGATCGTCCTGAGGACCGGAATCGAACATTAAAAATATTTCTTGGTTTTCTGTCAGAGTGTACAATTCAGGAAAAACAATATCCCTTCGATGTAAAGGAAGCACAGGACCTGGATTTTCCTTTGCTCTTATGTTTCTAATGGTTTTCTTCATGCAGTCAACTGATGGTAGCCTTCCTGCGATAGCCAAACTCACTCCTACTGAAGCATCTGACACAATCACATGGGGAGAGTCTCGAGTATTTCTTGCAGTGTCTTTTATGTTATTTAGTATCTTGTCACACTCCACTTTCGCAACATCAGCGACATGATTGTGTTCTTTCTTCCCATGGGACACAATTCTTTCGCCTTGCGTGCTCATTCGAGCTTTGCACTTTGTAATTTGGAATTTTTCACATTTCCAATATGTTGTTTCATCCACCACCTTGTCTTTATAATAAATATGATTGTTTACACACAATTTTGGTTTTCGCTTTTCACTTTCAATGAACTGTAAAGCCATCTTAACGAATCGAAGTTTTCAATTAAACTAGAACCCTATTATCTATCGTTTGAGAATTTATACAGAATGATTTAATTAAGGATCATTAAATTTAGAAGGAGAAACATGCCGTTAATGTTAAATATAAGCGTAATTTGAAAGGTATGTAATTACCTTTTAAATGTAATTCTTTAGGCTAATTGCCCTAAATGACCCATGCCTCTTAACTATCATTATTTAATTAGGAATAACACTTTCCAATCGCCCTCCATTAATTTTCTTTTCCATGAATGTGTTTCGAAGAATTATATTTTCGAAAAATTTGTTTCGAAGAATTATATTTTCGATGAATTTGTTTCGAAGAATTTTATTTTCGATGCATTTGTTTCGAAGAATTTTATTTTCGAAGAACTTTCCTTTTCGAAGAGTTTCATTCGAAGAACTGTTTTCGAAGAATTTTCTTTCGAAGAATTGTCGTCGAAGAATTTGGAGGAGACGGTGTTACCGAGCTTGCAAGTTTTACGGAAAGCAAAGTCTGAGTACAATAACAAAGACCGCGCTCACACAAATCCAGTCTACGCACTTTTCATCATCTCGCAAAGGAATCCGATGAAATACATAATACACGAAATCGGGATTTTTAAATTCTTTATACACTATTGGTCCCCCGATCAAACTCGTGTTTATAATAGATATTGCGCATTAACAAAACACCCAAAGATCTGCATCGATGCAACTGGTAGTGTAGTTAAAAAATTATCAAGGGGAGACCAAGAGTTATCTGGACATATTTTTTTGTATGCCATTGTGGTTAAAATACCAAATTCTAGTGAAGGGCAAATTCCAGTTGCACAAATGCTGTCAGAGAGGAATCACAGCAACGCAATACATTATTGGCTATCGGAGTGGCATCGCTTGGGGGCTAGGTTACCTCAAGAAATTGTTTGCGATTTTTCAATGGCATTATTAAGTGCCATCTGCAGAGCATTTTCAGATTGTACAGACCTTAACACTTATATCAATAATTGCACTAAAGTCTGCTTATATAATACCATCTCATTACTACCAAAATGTTTTATTAGAATAGATGTCGCACATTTAATAAAAATGGTTTGCCGCTGGCGCGAAATTCACCCATCTAATATTAATAGTAGGTCCAAGATTCGGCAATTTTATATACGTGGCGTAGGGCAAATATTACTTTCCACCCATTTAAGTGAAGCATTGCATATTATAAAATCGCTATTTGTTGTGGCGTTATCACAATATGAAGGTAATTTAGTCAACACAACGCAACTGACAACGTGTGAAGTGCCGAAAAAAGATCTATTGATAAAATATGCGTATGGCATTGAACAGCATGCAGTAAATGGTGTTATCTCAGAAATGGACGTCGATTCTCAAGACATTGGTACCACCAATCAGGACCACGTTAAAAACGAAAAGAACATTTTGCATGGGATTATAGAAAAACTGTATGAAGAAGCCAAATCCATCGTAGAAACTGAAGAAGGAGACCGAGACAATATCATGTACTTACCGGCAATCATTAAGCCCATGTTTCGGTTATGCACAAGGTAAATTTTTAATTGGCAACATTTTCAAAACTTGTATCATTTACATTATACTCGTATAGTACCAATTACCGTTATAATCTGAAAAAGCACTGCGCTGATTCAATGATGAATTTGTAATATTATGATGTAGGTTACCACTGTGGACTGGAATAATGATAAATCATTTTGGTTATGGAAATTTAACAGCAACTTCGACGCACGTAGAAAGCTACTTCAACGACTTAAAGTCAAGGCATTTTTTGCAATTACCTTTAAGAGTCGACCAATTTGTAGTAGAACATTCAAGAATACTTGAAAGTAAGTATCGGCCTCATAGAAAGCATTTGAGAAGAACTATATATTATATTGTTTGTAGGTACCATGCATCTTGCTTCTGGGTTAAGCTATTTCCACCAAAAGGCAAATCTATCCAATGAAACGCAGCTTGAACCTTTAGACGCAGAAATAAGCAGTGAGGGGAATCCATGCGATCAGAAAATAGAGACACTGACCACCATCCCAAAATTCAACTTTATAGAAGCTAAAGGCAATGAATCAATTCCACTCCGTGATGAAATTGAGTTGCAAGAAGAGATTACCGGCACTGAATATAATAACATAAACGTAATTAGTGAGACAACTACTGAGGACAAAGAAGCTGAAATGGAACAAAAAGTAAGTCATTAATATAGCTACATCTAAAATTAATTATTAATAAAGCAAGTCATTCTAAAATTTTAGTTTCGGATAACACACCCTCGTAATATAATATCCATTAATAATCCCAAACTTAAATTGTTGAGACTGAGCGTCCTTAAAGTAATAAGTAATAAAAGTTACGTTAGTGTGCATGTTATTCATTGAACAATGCTGTTCTTCCAATCACATTCTTAAAGAAAATCAAAATCATTTCTAACTTTTCACCAAAAATAATGATTATATTATAAGTGTTAATTGAACTATCCACCTACTGATGAAAAGATAATATTCATTGCTATTCAAAACGATGTATCTACGATAAGAACAACAGCTTTATTGAATGAAAGACACGCCATCAACTTGGTTTACTATAAGTATGTAACCATGAAATATAATGAATTAGTAATGTTACTGACTACCCATTTTTTTAGTTAGAGTCAACGAGTATAGAACTCAATTATACCGAGACGTGGAGTCGGAAAAAAGACACCAGTAAAAGGAAAAAGCAGAAAGTAGGGTTATATTTAAATCCGCAGGCTGAATGGGCAACTATTGGTCAAAACGCTGAAACAAAACCCGTAAAAGTGATTCTATTAAGGAACGGGGGAAAAATAACGGCACCAATAACCAGAAGACAAGGAGGAGTGATGATTAGCTTAGCAAATACCTGTGCTTTTGACAGCATTGTGCACGCATTAGCAGCAATTTACTGTGACAGTAGGCGCTACAGAGACATCATTCAAGCCCAGAGTGACTTATTACCTGTAGTCCTCTTAGCTCAAAAAATGGGAGAAAAATGTTCATACGCTAAAATTTACAGCATCCGAAGAGATATATTATATGAATTATTTGACAAAAGTGAATCAGGAGGCACCATCTCACGAGTTAACTGCGAAACAACCATTACAAACATGATAACAAAATTAAATCTCATTTCTTACGTTGAAAGAACTACTTGCAATACGTGTAATTACTTTTCTGAAAAGTCGTATTCTATAATACCGACAAATTCAAAAAAGTTAACTCCAGGTATTGAGAATTTAGGATTAGCTATATTAGAAAATAAAATACTAGCACAGTTACGATGTTCAAAAAGTAATTGCTGTGGGTCACTCATACGTCATACCCAATACATGGACGTCATTTTCATTGATTACTTCGTGGACGTAACTCCATCATTGGTATGTCTTGATGACATTCCAAAAATGCTAGATTTAGAAAATAAGATGTACCATCTCAGAAGTATTATAGAATTTCAACCTCCAGCTTTAGATTCAGCAATTGGGCATTTTTTAACATACGCGAGGAGGAATGATTACTCCTGGCAAATGTTCAATGACTTGCATGAAAAAGTAGTCACTGTATCGGCAAAAAGTGCAGTTAATGTAACTATTATTATTTATTCAGTGTAGTTGTTTGACTAAGGGCCGGTTTATTCAAGCTCAAGTAAAGTTCAAAGTAAGTTACTGGTTCAAGTAAGAGAGACATCTGTATATTCACAGCCAAGTAAATTTACAGGGGCGTGTAAATAGCTTACTGGTAAAGTAAACTTATAGGCTACTTCAATGCGCCAGTAAGGTGTTACTTCAGTTATTCTAACCTCACACTTTGTATTGTATGTAAACAATGGACGTTATCGACGATATTTTGTTATTTAACGAAATGGATATTATTAATAACATTGAAAGGCGACCCTATAATACAATTAATAGATTTCGTCACGTCGATAACTTTCACGAGTGGGATGAAACTGATTTTGTAAGACGGTTTAGATTGTCTAAAGCTTCCGTCCTTGTAGTATTAGAGTTAATACAAGGTGATATTCGGGCTCGTACTAACAGGTAAGTGCAAAAGTATACATCTGTGATGATGGTATGTAATTACGTGTTTTTTGTCAGGAACAATCCCATAGCTCCATTGCAGCAGTTGCTTCTTACGCTTCGCTTTTTTGCAAGTGGAAGCTTTTATATAACCGTGTCAGATTTCGGCGGAATACATAAGAGTACTGCGGCACAAATAATAAAGAGAACCGTAACTGCCTTGTGTCAATTACGCCGGGACTATATCTATTTCCCAAGAGATCCAGAAGAGCAACATAATGTCAAAGCAAAATTCTGCAACATTGCAGCATTTCCAAGAGTTCTTGGAGCCCTTGATGGTACCCACATCCGGATTCAATCTGATCACCAGGTATGATCAAAGTTTAAGTACCTAACTACTTACCTACATGTAATAATACATACATAATTTCTTTTCACCAGGTGGGCAACAAGCCGAGACATTTAGAAATAGGAAAGGATATTTCTCCTTAAATGTGCAAGTTATCAGTGATGCAAAGCACTACATACGAAATATTGTCACTCGATGGCCTGGATCAAGCCATGACGCAAATATATTTGATAATTCACTCATTCGAATGCAATTTGAAAATGGGGAAATGGGCAATGGACTGCTATTAGGCGATAGTGCATACCCCCTCAGATCGTATCTAATTACACCTATTAACAATCCCCAAGGTGAAATAGAGACCCTGTTTAATGAATCGTTAATCCGCACGAGAACTGTAGTGGAGAGAACTTTTGGCATTTGGAAGCGGCGTTTCCCTATACTATCCGTAGGAATGAGGTGTCGTGTTGAATTAGCACAAAATATTATTGTCGCCACAGCAGTAATACATAACATTGCACGTCAAGAGAGAGATGCCATTGACGATTTGGAGGATGACCCACTAATAGAGAATGTACTGGCTCCTCCACCTAGGAATGACAATGATAACCACCATCATAGAAGAGAGTTATTAGAATATTTTGAACAGTTGTACAATCATAGAAATTAAAAGTAACTTTATAAAATAACTGAATTTTAATACAAATTTTACAAACAAAATTGCTTTTGTAATAATTTTTGTTTCAATTTTAAGATCTCCATTTCTAACTCATGCTTTGCTGTTTCCCTTTCACGCCTTTCTTTCATGAGTTGTAACTCTTCCTGTCGCACTTCTTTTTCCAATTCCACAATTGCCAACTGCAATTTAACCAGCTCCTCTCTACTGTTTGCTAATTTACTGAATTTTTGTTCTAGATTTGCTTTACGGTTTGTTTTTTGTTGCAAAGCTTTGTGAGGTGGTTCTTTCATTTTTTGTGGGGTCCACGATTGCCAACCAGTTGCATTTGTTGCTAGATACAATAAATACTCACTTCAATTAAGGAATTAAAATGAAAGGAAGCACTTACCGACATCACTTGCACTTGCTTCAATTGGAGTTGCTTCTTCATTTGGCATATCTATCTCGATGGGGATATCCAAAACATATGCAACGGGTTCTAAATGAGATGTAGCTCTGGTGATGTTATTACACCCTACAATATACAGTATACAGGTCTTATTTATCCCTTTGTAATTACCACAAATTACTTTCATCTTCACTAAGTTCTGCTGTCGACATTGGTGCATCGATTACAATCGGTTGAGTACATTCGACTGGTTCTGGTGGTGGAATAACAGGAATTTCTAAATCTGCAGCACTTTTGTAAATAATGTAATAGGGTCTTTTTTATTGTTACCTTTATCACAATCATTTTGCGTGTGTAATCCGTCCACTTGCGTACTTATAATAGCTAGCAGCTTCTCTTCGTAGTCAGTATAGGTCACTGTATCGGGAGGGCCTCCACCAGTCCGATATAATCCACACTTCTCTTTACTACGTTTCTGCTGGAGACTTCGTTTTATGCCTTCGTATTTTATTTTTAACATTTTAGTTGATCGAAACGTGGATCCGCTGTTTGCATTAAATGCACTTTCGAGGTTGATCCACGCGTCCTCTTTCTGTTTGCATGTCACAGCATCAGTTTGTTTATTTTCAATAATTTTTTTCCGTTTGCAAACTTCGTCTACTAGTAACCTTGATTCAGCCATTGTAAAATTCGAAGATCGTGCCCGTTTTTTGTTATCACTAGCTGTAAAAACATGTTGTAATAGTAGTGAATATTCCGTAATTGGTAAAACTTACCTGTATTTGCATCCATGGTACCGGTACGTAGAATAACTAATACCGAACAAGTAAAAGCGCAAACGGTATATAACCTAACAAAACCACCTTAGAAAGTAACGTAAACGTTGTCACTATCTTTGTTTAATACTAGCATTCGTATGCCGCATCTCTCTCTAAGAATTACAGATCGTTTAAAAACGTTGACGCTCACCTACTGGTGTGCGTGACTATTCGTTTAAAAACATACCAACCTTTTCAGTATCTACTTAACAGCCAGTAGCACATGAATAGACAGAATTGCTTTACTTTTCATAAGTAATTTAACTAACCAGTAGTTACTTAAGATTTGTTGGGTAGTTGAATAAACCGGCCCTAAGTTTCACGATATTATGACGTGTAGATTTAGGTTTTTAAATATTATAATAACGTTATGTTGTAATATATTTTATTGTTTGTAAATTTTTTTTAATGGTAACACTTTTAATGTCTTTCCATCCATATGGCAAATTAAATTACAGTAACCATTAAATCAAATAATTGGATACAAATCAAAAAAAAAAGAGTACGCGAAGAGTACATATTAAAGTAATAAATTAACATTTCTAGGACAACCGTATAAAAAACACCCTTATTTTCCAAAATCCTTGTACAATTTTACTGCAAAACCGGTCATTACCGGTAAATTTTTTTTTAGAATTTTACTATTATACTATTTGTGTTGCTCTTTCGTAGGATGTAATCATTATATGTTTTATGCTCGGTTTTGTAATAAATACTACAAAACGGTAAAACCCTGATATGAACCCCGGTATAATTTTTTATATTTTTGTTGTGGGCCGATCAGAAAAGATTGCAATGCGGAAAAAATTGCCGCAAAATAAGCACAACAATATACACTTAACTTATATCTATTTGAGCAAAGGTCAGCAAAAAGTGGGAGGTACGAACCTAATATTTTGGATATGTCTCTTATCACGTGAGCCCAAAATTTGTGTAACACGGCAAAATTTAGCACAAAATAGCACAAAATTATGCACCTAACATACTTTCATTTGAGCGAAGGTGTACCTTCAGCGTGAAGTGGGAGGTACCAACCTAACATTTTTTATATCTCCGTTATCACGTGGGCACAAAATTTGTGTAATACGGCAAAATTTAGCACAAAATGAGCACAAAATTATGCATCTAACATACTTTCATTTGAGCGAAGGTGTACCTTCAGCGTGAAGTGGGAGGTACCAACCTAACATTTTTTATATTTCCGTTATCACGTGGGCACAAAATTTGTGTAATACGGCAAAATGAGCACAAAATTATGCACCTAACATACTTTCATTTGAGCGAAGGTGTACCTTCAGCGTGAAGTGGGAGGTACCAATCTAACATTTTACATATCTCCGTTATCACGTGGGCACAAAATTTGTGTAATACGGCAAAATTTAGCACAAAATGAGCACAAAATTATGCACTTAACTTATTTTGATTTGAGTGAGGGTGTACCTCCAGCGTGAAATAGGAGGTACCAAACTAAAATTTTTGAGATCTCCGTTATCACGTGGGCACAAAACTTTTGTTATACGGCAAAATTTAACACAAAATGAGCACAATATTATAAGTAATGCGCCGTTTAATTATTTTTACATTGTACCTCCAACTTCACGGACCTAATTTTTGACACAAAAACTAGAATATCGGCGAAGCCCTTGGAGCAAAGGGTCAACTATGGGGTATCGTTGTACTCCAAATTCGACGTAGAATCCGAAAATGTAGAAAAAATAGGGGGCCCTATTTAAAATAACAAAGTTGATGGCTACTTCCGGTATTTCCGGAAGTGGCGCCATTTTGAAAATATTTTAGTTCAATTCATCAGTGCCAAAACAAGGGCTTATCAGTTTAGCTTAATTTTCAAAGGTTTTCCATATGTTTCTAACTGACGCTCGTCAAGAATGACCCTGTATATTTAGTTTATTTTTTAAGGTAACTAATATTGTTTGCCACCTATGTTATCACTGGGAACCATTTTCAAATTCTTAGAAGCAAATGCGGGTTCACGTTGCGTTGTTGAGGGCGAAGCAGTCTTGAATGCAAACCCTATTATCGTTCACGGAGTAACAGAACGGTCTGATAGCCACGCGAATTTGTTGGCACTTTGTTTAAAGACGAGTGCCTTGACTGATGTTCCACATGAATTACGTAGTAAAATTGTAATCAACGACAATTGAAATTTGCAATATGCATTGCACCTTGTTACGTGCAGATTTCCTTTTTGCCTATTTTTTTTTTAGATTTCGTTAATTTCCGCTAACACGTTGAGGTATTGTGTGTTGCATATTTAGGCAAGAATGAGTTAACATCTAATGAACAGTAAGAACTGTCGCATTTATGCTAATTTCAACCTTGGCCCTGAAAATTTATCTGTGCCATACATTCTTACATACGTGCTATCATTTTTGATAACAGTCATTTTGGGCATTCTCTTCTTCCTTTTCAAGTTCAGCCTCTGTAGGTGCACGTCGTGCTCTCTGTGACCATAATTTTTGTATAATTTAGCCCTTGGAGGGTGTTTTGTGCAGAAGCCGACAACTAAAATAATAAGTAAACGATTTTGGTTTTGGAAGGTTACAAGTTTTTCACCTTTTTATGGTGCTTTGAGCACCACATGCTGACTATCTTTTGATTAAGAGAGCTCCGAACATCTGAGGTAAAGAAAACCCATTTAATTCTTCTTTTCCAGAGTGTAAGTGCTTCTTATTTTTTTTAGCTCCAAGTAATCCTTGTAATTACCTTCTTATAATTACTTCCTGGTAATTACCTAACACTTTGAACTTGCCGTTCTTGCCGAAGACCTGCAAGATTTGTCTCGGCATTCCTGCGTGATAATTAATTAGCCGCTCGTCATCAAGTAAAAAGGGACAACGAATTTCATAACTTCTTACCGTTTGCGACGTTCTATCGACATCTGGGAATTTGGGGGGATTTTCCACACCCCAGCAAGGTTAGTGGTTTTTCTCCAAGTTTAATATCTACCAATGAAGAAAAGCATTCAACTAAATTACATATATTAATTGCTTACTGTATCGTACGGAATAACAACCAGCAACCACATTAGAACCGTTGCACTTTGCTAGACTTGCATTTACACTCACAACGAAGTCAAAGTTTGTAACAGTGTTGTAAAGTCCCGTCCACAACAAATATTTGGGTTGCGTTCAATAGTCAGTAGTTGAATTACAGGTAGCGTCGCATAATACGAAATGCCTTTTTACCTATGCACGTCCCATTTTTATTTTGCAGTCAAAAGTCACTTTGGGCTAACATTTAAGTATCACGTTAGCCAGTAAACTTTGTTGCGTGCTGACTCCTTGAGTTTGCTTTCAATAATTTTGTTATCTTGAACTTTCGAATTATTTAATTGAATTAATAGCCGGTTCTTTTACGTTGGGAAGAAATATACAGGGTGTTACACGACCGTTCGAAAAAAAAAAATCGGGTTGTAGAGGGCATCAAAACAAGCACTTTTGTCCAAATAAAATCCGAGAGGTCAATGACGTGTTATCGTTTTGGGGAGATCTCACCCTCAAGAGTGTTGAATCTGCATTTCTTCTTCTAATTTTTTTTCTCAGCAACTAAGAGTTAACAGAAGTCGGGTGGCTGTCTTTGAAAAGGTTGTGGGTATGCTTTCCGTTTTTTTTGTCATGGTTGTTTTCATAAAATTCTATCCCCTATAAGGGCCGCACCCTAAACTAGGGGTGCAAAAAAAAATTCTGTTTCTGCGACGAAATTTGGTATCTGGGGTGTCTCTTAAACAATGAAATCCAAGAATCCATGAAATTCAGTTTTGAAATATTGATACAAAAAATGTTAAACTACTGAGATTTTGCGCGGGACAACGAAATAGACATATTCCACGAAATTTGGTTCGTGGTCATACTAAAGACGAGTTAAGGACCAAATACTGTCGAACAGTTTTAGAACATAACGTTTTCAAGACAAAAGTTATATCATTTGAACTTTGGTCACTCGTTCCGGGTCCGAAGTTTGTCCGCAAGCCATACTAGTACGCCCATAATTTCGGGCATGTGTTGGTCGACAATGTCGCAAAAACAAAAGATTGGTTATGAGTCGATATTTGTCGTATGTATATAGAGAATTAATGTCGGTTCATTAAATGATTAAAAAATTCGATGTTATCGGATTAAAACACCTTCAGGTACTCTTAAAGCGACTGATCGGATTATTTAGTTAAAGATATACATAAGGTCGGGAAGAAGTCAACATATACACCTTTCCGTATGCATAGTACTTTTTCACTATGATCAAAAAATTTTCAGTAATCTTAGTTGATAAGGATAATTCACAAGACACGCTCCTGGGCTGTATACTAGTAGGCACTTGGGAACAGCTTCGCGACCCGAAGACCAACATATCAAATGATGGTAAATTTTGTTTGGAAAGAGTTTATTTAAAAAAGGCTGTGTCGAACAGACCAAGTTTTTTGTTCCTTAACCTTCATAATACCGAGCGGGGTACAAATGTACCCCACGCGCACCTTATGAGCTATAAGTCTGCAAATAATTTTTTCTGCTATTTCTCCGGCCTCCTATCTATTATCTATGATAATATATATGTACCTAAAAAAGTGCGCGTAGTTTCCTTCTATGAGTCCGTAATTATAATGAATTTTTGTTGCTGGGGTACAAATATACCCCGCTTGGTACTTAAAGCATGTGTTTTATTGCGCCGGCGTGAAATACCGCCCTAAGTACGTCGAATTACCGAAACGATGTGCAGTCAGTTCACTGCGTGTTTGTGCGTCTATTGTAAGAGAAATAACCGTTTTATTTTATAATAGTGTCAGATTTATAATAGTGTGAGATTTGATATTCCTGAAAATGAGTGAAAAACCTAAATTTCGTAATGAAAACAAACTTACCGATGACGAGTTGCTTCGAATATTAGAGACAGAGGAATTTGATTACTACTTTGAAAACGATTTAGCCTTGGAAGGTGCTGCAAGTGATATAGAAGAGACTGATGTTGTGGATGAAAATGATGAAGTCGATGACCTCTTGCTCATTGGTGATAATGAAGTGGATCTGGTAAGCGAATCTGTTTCTGAGGGCGGCGAGAATTTACGTTATATAGCGAAGGACGGTTCCGAATGGGCTAAAATACCGTACGTTACGAGAGTAAAAAGGGCAAAACATAACATACAAAAATTGCCATCGGGTCTAACACAATACAGTTCGAAATTTACATCTATAAAGGAGGCGTTTGATCTATTCTTCTCTGAAGATGTAATAAATATAATCTTGAGAGAAACTAACAGAAAAGCCGAATTTGTGTATTCCAAAAAAAACAAAGCGTTTGTTCCAATAGTAAAAGAAGAGATGGACGCTTTTCTTGGTCTTCTTATAAATTTTGGAGCTGTTCATGGTAACAAGGAACCAGTTTATGTTTTATGGAGTCAAGACCCAGTTTTGTGTCGTCCAATAGTATCAGCTTCGTTGTCTCGCAACAGATTTCAGCAAATAATGAGTTTTTTGAGATTTGATAATTTTGAAACTCGCGAAGAACGAAAAACTGTTGACAAATTGGCACCAATACGGGATATATTCGATATATTTGTATCGAATTGTAAAAAATCTTTCAATCCGAACGGTCATTTATGTGTTGACGAACAGCTAGTTCCATTCCGAGGAAAGGCTCCATTCAGGGTTTACATGAAGAGTAAACCCGACAAATATGGGATCAAAATTTGGGCTCTTGCGGACTGTGAAACTGCCTACACAGTAAATATGCAGGTTTACCTAGGTAACACTTTTCTTATAAAAATCTGTTGGTGTTTTTACATTTTGTTTTTTTTTAGGAAAAATTGGTAACAAACCAGAAAAGGGTCAAGGTCAGAGGGTGGTCTTGGATATGGTAAGCCATTTAGGACAGGGATATGGAATTACTACTGACAATTTCTTTACCAGTATTGAACTGGCAGATAAATTGTTACAGAGGAACCTAACACTATGTGGAACTTTACGGCGAAATAAGCCATATATACCTAGCGAGTTACTTCCCGCCAGGTACAAAAAAGATTTTTCAAGTATGTTTGCCTTCATGAAAGACAAAACACTGGTCTCGTACGTTCCAAAGAGAAACTCCGCTGTCGTTCTTTTGTCAACTGAACATCGAGACGACAAAATAAGTGGTGCTGATAATGATTATAAGCCTGATATAATACTACATTATAATAAAACCAAAGGAGCTGTAGACACGACTGACAAACTTGCTAAAGAATACACCACCCAAAGGAAGACCAACCGGTGGCCTATGGCAATTTTCTTCCATTTGCTGGATATTGTAGCTATCAATGCTTACAAACTGTGGATTCATGCTAACCCAGAGTGGAAAAAAGGTCGTTTAGATAAAAGAAGAATGTTTTTATTGGAACTAGGTCATCAATTAGTAAGAAATAATATTATTTGCCGCTATAATAAGGATCGTTCATTGCACGAAAAAATTAAGCAAAATATGGTAACCGTTTTACCTGAACTGAAAACAGATAAGGAAAATAGAGAGCAGGTTCCAAATCAGAAAAAAAGTGGCCGATGTCACATATGTCCGAGGAATGCTGATAAAAAGTCTAGAAAACATTGCGTCCAGTGTTCAAAATTCGTATGTGCCGAACATTCTAACATTACAACAATTTGTAATTCATGCAATAAATAAATTTATAGTTAAAAATTAATCAAACATGTACTTTTTTGTCTGCCCTTTATTTAAACAATAAATGTTTAGAGCTCCTGATACAAAAAAGGGGTGGGGTATATTTGTACCCCGCTTGGTATCTAATGAAAGTTTTTTACCATGGTATTACGAAGGTTAACTCGTTTAGTATGTACACAACAAATTTCGTGGAATTATCTCTATTTTCGTTGTCCCGCCAAGAATTGCAGTGGAACTTTTTTTTTCGAATTTTCAAAAACTAATTTCAGATTCGTGATTTTCATGTTAAAAAAACCCCAGATACCAAATTTCGTCGAAATCAGAATTTTTTTTGCACCCTAGTTTAGGGGTGCGCCCTTTAGGGGTAGGAATTTTGAAAAAAAATTGCAAAATCGGAAAGAGCATACCCAAAAAAGACATGCCACCCGACTTTGTAACTCTTATGGTTGCTGAGAAAAAAATTAAAGAAGAAATGCAGATTTCAACACTCTTTGGGGGGTGGCTCCCAAACGAACCACGTTGGACCCTCGGTTTATTTGGAAAAAGTGCTTGTTTTGATGCCCTCTACAACCCGATTTTTTTTTTTCGAACGGTCGTGTAACACCCTGTATAGTACGATACATAGTACACATTTCAAGTACTTATTTTGGTTTTATATTAATAAAGATAAATTTGTTATTTAATTTCTATTTCCCTTTGATGTGTATTATTGTGTAACAGAACTAAGGTAAGGTAAGAAATTTAGCATTGAGCTACTTTTGGAACGCAAGTGGTATTCTCGGGCCGCTTCAACATTTTGTAATTTGACTTTTAATAGTCGAGAAAGGCCGTTTTTTGAGATTCCAACTCTAGAAACGCTGCCGGGTGAAACTACTAATGATGCATCAATGACTTCGAGGATGTCATTGACTGCATAACAATCATCCTGACTATTAGATTCTGGGACGTTATAAATAATTACGTTAGTTGGGCGTGTACAGCGTTCGACAGACTCGTTAATAAGAGACTCCTGCTCAATTTTGCTCTGATGCGAATTAGAAATAAGGGACTCCAATTGCTCACACAATGTCACGATATCACGAGCCGGTATATACGGCTCACTGGATAAGGTTCGCGACCCAAAAGGGCTATGCGTATACTCAAATCGGCAATAACGGATTCTAAGAACAATTTTCTATTATCAGAATAAAGCAAATAGCACAGAAAGAGCGCTCGAAAACACGTCCGTACGCGACGATGCGACGAATTAGCAAAATGAAGTTTTACTTACAAACGTTACAAACATTTACATAATGTGTTTCCTTGACTTTAAAAGGGAGAAGTCATGGATTGTCTCCTCAAAGGAAATTTTCTTGGTAAGTTCACTCTCGATTGCCAAAATCGACAGGGCACTTAACAGAGTCTCTCCCATTGTGTTGCGAAGGTAATTTTTCACCCTTTTTAGCGCTGAGAACGAACGCTCGCCACTAGCGTTGGTGGATGGCAGAGTTAAGTACACGCGCAATAAAATGCATACATTTGGAAAGGTGCGCTTTCTTTCAAGTACTTGTACATTTCGATTGGGCTCTTGATATCTTTTCCCGAAGCAAACTGCAAGTAATGCAGAAGTTCCTCTTCGAAGCCTTCATCCAAATCGTTCTTATTAACACTTCTCAGTTTTGTCGCAGCGTTTCTAATTTCACGTAGACTCATTCCATGGCAATCGAAGAGCACACAAAAATCTCGACAAAAATGGTCGTTCAGTTCTTGGTAACCTTGGTATAGTTCTAGAGAATTGCCTAGGCTTATAGATGGGTTTTGCAACGACTTGGAGGTGAGATTGGAGCGATTCAAAAAACGGTTCCACATGGCGGTCAACATCTCAGTTTCCCATTTCTCCATATTATTCGCGATTGCGTTGGCTTCTATCTTTGTTGTCGGTTTCTGAGATTTATCGGACCCGACACGTCTCAGAGCAGTGATAATTTCTGCGTATCCCCTCATCAGGGTGGCAGGTGCATCAGCCCTGGCAGACCAACGTGTGTCTAACAATCGTTTCAGCGTGAAGGACATCTTCTTTTCAGAAAACGCTTGTTCCAGAATGTTCCACCTTGCAGTGGACGCGGAAAAGAATGTGTACAACTTCTGCACCAGTTCAAAAAATGTTGTTGAAACCCTGCAGGACTCCGCTGCTGCATTCAGAACCAAGTTAAGGGAGTAACGTAGAATTCTTCATCTGTGTGTTCTCTAATCCTCGCCTGGAGACCCTTGTAACGCCCTGACATGTTCGCTGCATTATCGTAGCTTTGGCCGCGACAGTTTTTGATATCGAGTTCCATGTCTTTTAATGCTTCCAAAACATCTTCCTCGATGTCAGCACTCAAATGGCCACGTAGCGGTTTAAACCCAACGAATCTCTCAACAGGATTGCCTTCCTGTGTGACGTAACGAAAAACGAGCGTTAGTTGAACCACATGA